ATTCACTTTTTAAGTTAATAATAATTAAAAAATTGACAACTTATGCATTTTATGCATTGGCTCTCTAGAAAAAATCCGTTTACAATAATTTTCGCTAGAGAATACGGGATTGCATTCACAATTCGAAGGCACATTAAACGTGGCTAATAAGTTTGGGCATGTATGTTTGTATATACATTTGTAAGTCTACGACATATTTATGCATTGCAGGAGAACTTCATCGCTCTCGCTATAATTACAACTGATTAGATGTTAATCCATTCCGGTGATTTGGTTGAAGCGCCCCGGTGAATATAAGCGCCAACGAACAATTATGCTGCCGAAAGCAGAAAAGTTTCGCTAATTGTCGTATGTATGTTAACGCGATTTCCACAAATCGACCAAAAACTACAATAAACACTGTAAAATAAATATGAAAGATTTATATATCTGTGTAGCGTATATGTTTTATACTTTTTTCCCACACCGAAAATTATCGAAAAATTTGTTGTCGTTTGCCACTGAGAGTTTGTGTTGGCCATGACTCAGGCAATTTCACGCATGTATTGTATAAGAAACAAGAGCATGTGTACATATGTATGTAGAATGCGCGTATATGGTACGCATGTGCAGTCGTTGGCGGTAAAAGGTCAATGGGAAATTCAAGGCGTGAAAACAAAAACAAAAAATTAGAAGCAACATTTGCAATTGAATATTATTATTTTTTATGTCTTTTTGCAATCCATTGCCAACCACTGCCTGTGCGTTACATATGGGTATGTCGATGGATGTGTATTGGCATACATATGTATGATATAAATGCTGTCGTGGGCCTTTTCCATTACGATGATCGATTATTTTTGTTTCGCCGAGTAACATTGAAAACACTGAGATTGCGAAGTAGTTGCCGCATGAGATATAAACGAATCATACATACATACTAGCCAATATTAAGAAGGAACAGCTAAGTAAATAGGGGGGAACAAGTTTAACTATATATTATTGTAGGTATATATATGTATGTAACTTCATGGAGTTAAATAAACAGGCAAAAGTAAATCAAAAATAAACAATGACGAAACTTACAACACCGGAAGGGATTAAGCACATTCGTTGTTAACATTAAATAACATAAAATAAAAACTAAAAACAAATTAAATATATATCGAAAATTCAACTAAAAAATAAATGTTATTTATATATAAATAGTAACAATATACTTTTAAAATTAAGCTTAAAAATATATAACGCATGTACAAAATGCGTAAAATTATTTAAAGAGGACTGAAAACACAGGAAGAATATTATTAACGCTAGTTTTGTGAGGGAAACAGTATAATAGGTAAATTATGCAGAATTTTAAACACAATTGGTAGATAACAATTAAAAGTGTCTGTTTATAATTTACTAATTTCACAATTGCATATAATATGTAAAAAATCATACAGAAAATTTTATTWAAATATGTAAAATTATAAAAAAAAACTATAACGCTGCAATTATATATGTGTGTGTGTAGAGACTGCCGTGTGTAAATGCGCTAACAGCTATTGAGTACATTAAGTATTTGCGCCAATAAGTATCTTGCATTCAACTCTGCACTTTTTAACATTCGTGAATTAAATTTTTTTAACATTCGTAATTTGAGTTTTTTTCATATTCGTAAAAAATTAGTGTGTGGTAAACGAGGCTGGTTGACTTTAAGTGCGTCATCGTTGTGCGCAATTAAAAATTTCATTGCTTATACGTGTATAATTGCTTATTGTTTATAGCTGTTTTAACAATAACAAAAAATCGTTTGGCAAGTGTTAAGCACAACTCAAAAGCTTAATAGTACTTTTACGTTTGGAAATATTGCATTTTCTTTGATTTTGTTTACAATTTCGTTTACGTTCAACTTGAATTCATTTGGCGTGGCACTAGTTCGGCTTGTTGAATTTACGACAAGTGTATGAAATTATCACTATATTCGCACACTTTCATTTAGCGCCTAAAATAGCAGCCCAGCATTTCATAAAGAAAAACTACCTAGACATAAATATCCATAAAACTACAACACTAGTGTTGAGAAAGCACAAGGCAAGGCGTGTGTGTGTAAATAATTCCAAAAATTGAAAAGTAATATTTTTACCACAAATTGTAATATGCATAATATGTGCATATTATTATTCCTCTCCTATGAAATTCGGTATTATTTTTGTATGCTCCACGCCTGTTTTGTTTATAATAATTTTATACATTTGACACCTGTTTGGGCATGCACAAAGGCAACGCGTTTGCGTTGTTCTGAAATTATTTTAAGACATATGTACATAAATAACTATGTACATATAAGCGTTCACACTGTGTGGTATAAATCATGAACGGGTTATTGACAACTTAAAACCAAATTTGGTATAGAATTTCTGGGAAGACCACAAATGGAAAACCTAACTGTCTTCAAATATTTTAATTCAAGTTAAAAAAAGTGCATATGTAAACATAATTAGTCAAAACGTCATATAGGTAATAGAATTCACTTGTTTTTTGTAATTTCAGTTTTCTGTTTGTTGTTTTTTTCACTTTACCTCTATAAATTTCAAGTTGAAAATATTATATCGTCTTGAAAGTAAAATGCAAAAAATATATAAATATATATGTACATCAAACACACTTATTGAATGTGCTTCCTTTTTTTAGATCACAGCTTAATAAAAAAAATAACATATTATTTGATCAGCTGTTTTTAGATTTCAGTAAATAATAATAATACAAAATCTCAAATTTTCATATTAAAATCAAACATTTCAAAGAATTTGGAATTATCTTTAATAATCTCTCTTTATTAACTTCTATCAAAATTTTAAAAATTACCCAAATCGAAGGAATATATTTTCCAAGTACATTGAAGTATTTTTGGAATTATGTGCAAGTTCTTCTGTTCATTCTAGATGAACTATGAATATTTGTGAGATTTTTTTAGGTTCTCAAATTACTATTTGCAAATTATGCAAATAATAACGAAAAAGTACAGTGACATTTAACGAAATCTAGACGAATTTTTCAATTATTCTTCTAGAGCCAAATTTCAAGGACATTTGGTATACAATATGAAAATTGAGGAGGGGAACCTTGAAAATATGCTCAAACCAAAAACTTGAAAGACGGAGCACTTAATATGCAACTAAATATTGGCGTAGACATCGCTTAGGCCGTTATAGGAAAATCAGTAAAAAAAAAATTAGCAAATATTCCTAAAAAAAATTGTTAATTACAATTTTAATTCTCGGAAAAACAGTATTAAAGTACAAATTTAATGCTTTAAACAAAATTTTTTTAATATTACAAGTTTTTTACTCGAAAAATTTACACACTCCTGCCTTTTGCTTAATGTAATAAATGCTTTAAAACTGCTCGAATACATTTTTTAAATAAACTTTTATATAAAAAACAACTATTTATATAAAATAGTGGTTTTATAAAAAATATATGTATGTATGTGCTATATATACCAAAGCTATATTTTATATAACCGCTAACTTAAACCCAATATCTGCCTATTTATTATCATTATTTTTATACTTTTAATTTCACATGTTATACTGTCATTGCTGCTGCTAGCTTTTCCATCAAATTGAGCAACTAACTACTATGTTTATTATTATATAACTTTTTTTCTTAAGGCACTACGCTTTTCACTAGCACTAACCTCTACTAGCGCTATATATTGTTTTGCTCACTTATCTAGCACCAAACTACAGCTTTTTAGGCTTAAATAACTAAATGAGGCATTTTATGTTAAAAAAAAAATATTAAAAAAAAAAACAATTTAACCAAATAGTACAAGCTAATGAGAAAAAATCTCATATATATATGTGTATAGTATATACTTTATATGCAAAATTGTTCGCTAGTTTACGTTGTGAAACACGCTTGCCGCTATGCTTCGAGATTAAGTTAATGTGGCAAATCTAATGGCGCTCTTAATATTGCTTAATGTGTATATTTGTTGGGTATACGCTTACTCTATAGCGCTCGTATGTGCAAAATCCACAAATTTACATATGGACTGTATGCGTATATTTAGATATTGCGCTGCCAATTCAATTTTTGGAAAATATTCATGTATGTAAACTTGTTTTGCTTTGCTTTTGAGCTACATACATGTTTTTTTTTATTGCTTTTTTGATTGTGTGATGAAGTGCCACGCCTCATCAGCTGCATCATTCAGTCGAGAACAAATTGAAGTGGTCAAAATTGGGCTTACCTTGCACAGATTCATCGTCTAAATCATCGCTGCTGCTCGTTATGCGGCCTAAAATATCATGAATTTTAATTAAAATTATACAGAAGCAATTTAGTGTGGTGTGCACGCATAAGATTTGCTCTAAATTACCTCGTGAACCCTTATTGGAGCTAACACTGCTGCCGCCATTGCGATTGTATAATACATTCTCCAGATACTGTAAACCGTTATTGTTGACAATATTAAAGCCCAGACAATTCTCAATTTGTTTCCAACGATGCAGACGTTCTTGCAACTCGTTTGTTACCTCACTGAGCGAATTGCGTGCTTCCACAATAGAGCGATCGACATCGTCAATACTTTTGCCATGCGTCGAGACAAATGCACCAACTAAGCTTGAACGTTTCTTACGCAATTTCTCACATGCTTCCCGCGCAGATTGCAATTGTTTTTCGGCTGAAACACGTTTCTTCAAATGATTCTTGCTTTCCAATTCGTAGGTGTATTGCAGCCAAGATTGTAGTTGTGGTGGCGGTGTCCAGCAGTTATCCACCAATTCGATTTCAGCGCGTGACAGTTCAGTACGCAATATTTCGATTTCCTTTTTCAACTTTTGCACCTCCAGATCAGAGCTGGATGATGAAAGTGTGGGAGCCTCTTTAAGTCGACGTTCCAAATCCATTTTTTCAGTAGCAACATTCTCTTGCTCCATGCGCGCACGTTCCAATTCCTATGAAGAGGGAGAAAATAAATAGTAACATTTTAGAGTGCATTGAGCTTAAATTTTTTTTTGAATAAGACTTAACCTCAAAGTATTCAATTTTTAAGGGAAAAATTTATAAGAAATTAAATTGAATTAAAAATTAATATTTAAAAATTAATCATTAAATAATAATATCCGTTATGTTGACATTTACACAACTGAAATGAATTATAATCGATTATGAATACGATTTTCTAATAATATAAGCCATCGAAGCTCACAATAAGCCTTTGAAAAATTAATTGTTGCTAAACAACACGCAATCTGTTAACAACGTTTACTATTACTGTCACTAAATATATATAATAATTAAAGTATTAACAACTAATGTGTTAGAATTTCGGTTAAATATTGGCAAGTTACCGATATTTTATATGAATGTGCCAAATGGTATGCACCAATTAATTTTTTCTGGTAAGATATATAATTTTAAAAAATATTTCTACTACGAAATTACTAACAGCGTTTTTTTTTCTCACAACAAATGTTGCAATTAATCTGCTTTATGCCCAGGCTGTTAAAAATTGCGTGTTCTTTTCGCAGCATGTTTTTTCTAACTTGAAAACTTGCACAATTTTCTGTCCTTTTCAAAATTTAAGTGTTAGAGTTGGACAAGCGATGTATATTTTTCGATTTTGATAGTTATTTTTTTAAATTAATTTTTATTAAAAATTATAATGACTCCATCAATTATGTTAAGCTCGATTTTAGATATTGCAAATGAGTTGGCTGGCATTTTGTTTTCTTATTTTGTGATGTAGCAAATGTAACTTAGATAAAATTACCATATTGAGGCAACATTTTCAGCGAGAAAATAAAACGCTATTAGTTTAATATAAAAACCAGAAACTAGGGACTGAAAATGCAAGAAAAGATAGTTAAACTTAAACTCCAATATTGAGTTTAAAACTCTAACCGAAACATCTTTTCACTTCACATGCTTATAAGTTATGTACTACGCACCTTTTGCATCTCTTGTAAACTCTGCTCGGCGCGCTGCAGTCCCTCCATGTCTTGAGCCATACGTCGTAAATGTCTTTTAGCATTCTTATTTTGTTGATATGCATACCAACAACCTATAATTGCACTGAGTAATAGCGTCACTAAAATATAATCCTTCCAGCGTGTGCCGGTCTCTGCAATGGCGTACAAATTGAATAAATAAATATTAGTGTTGTTAATACCAAAATGGCATACCACGCGGCGGTCCGAAGAGCACAACGTCCATGGCCTTGAGCGCAATTTTCTGCTTATGAATGGGATCCTTTATGCCCAGAACATTGCCCACATAATGCATATTATTTACTGCCAATCTGTAAATAAAGCGAAAGGCAACGAAACGTTCAGCGTGTCAGAATATACTAATTTGCGAGAAGTTTATAGAAAAATTATTATTATTATTTTTTTTTTTTTTTGGTTAGTGAAATGAGCAGATTTGAAGGCCAAACTTACGAATAGGAAATCTTTTTTAATTTTCTATTTTTGTTTTTATTTTCCGTTTTTGTTGTTTTTCTCTCACTGCCGCTTTGCGAATAATTCTACATAAACTGCAAAAACGTTAACTGTAAGTTTATTAACTTCACACAAAAATAATTCCAATGATTCAGCATGCTATCCACTTACATATTCGTAGCTACATTTGCACATATGTATGTCGATTTGTATATAATTGTAAATAAAAATATATTTGGTTTCGCACAATAACCCATTAAGTGGGCTCCACTTTTTCACAGTACTCGCCTCGGTAGTTGTTGGTTTAATTGCATGATCCAACTAATACTACTACGCCATTGTCACAAAGTTGCACATACATATGTACGTACACGAAATGCAAAAATTAAGCTAACAAAAAAGTCTCACCGCTATATAATTGCCGTTTTTTTATTGTTATTAGTGAAAAATCATTCCCTCCTCGTTGCTTACCTTTATTATTCTATGACAATTTGCCTGTTATTATTGCCGTTATATTTGTGGCGTTCCAATCACCCCGATCATCACTCCCCCGTTAGTTCCCCCAAGTGGCTTACTTTTAGCTATTTTTTATTTTGTGGGCATACATATTTAATTTGAAAGTTTGAAAAAAGTTTATAATCTACACTCTATATATTTTCCAATATTATTCTGGAGTTCTGTTGTTGTCGAAATAATGGGCAATGTTATTTTAATTTTAAAGTAATGAAGTAATCCTATGTCGTAATTATTATTTCTGTCATTTATGTTATTATTCGTATTTTTTTCATATTAGGTATTTAATCGTATGATTATAACTATTATAATTTTATTTGTTGACATATGTATTATTTTTAATTTTTTTTATAACTTTTTGTCATATTAGACTATTAATCGTTTGTGATAATAATCACAAGTTTGGTAATTAATATCAAACAATATCTTCTAGCAGAGACAGCCATTCCGGTTGCTCCAGCGTGTAACTTCAAAAATATTCAATTTTTGGAAACATTTTACTGCGAAGTCTTAAAATATGTATAAATGTACGCTTCTTTTGGGTTGTCATACTAGGTATGTGTTTCTTTAAATAAAAATTTTTTTTTTCGAAAAACCAACGATTTTAATCCTCCTTGTGCATTAAATTATTCTATTACAGGTTAACAACAACAATATAAATATTAAATCGTCTCAAATTAGGCTCAAGTGATTTTCCCATAGACCAAATTAAGCTCAAACCTTTTTTAGGTATTTGTTCATGATGAAACAGATAAGCGTAAAATATTAATTGGCACTGTCACGCGCAGATAGTTAAAATGACAATTATTTGCAAATATGTAATAATTTAATGGAGTTTTGTACATCAAGATTGAAAGAAATTTGATGAGTTGACTCATTTAATACACTCAAAACAACAATAAATACTTTGTTATTTTATATCATATTTTTGCTGATAAATGCTTAATAAAAACGGATGACTTCTAATCAGCCTATTTTAACATATAAATAGCATTTATATAGACATAGCAACTTATGCATGCAAATAAGATTAAGATTAAAATTAAAATCGTAATCGCGTTTTATGCTGCGAGCAAAATTCATTTGAATTCGTAATAAAGCATGAATTTGTTAGATTTTCTCTGACACGTTATAATCGTATGAACTGATGCAAGTGAAATAGGAATAATAATTCATAAAAATTTCGTAACCTAATATGTAATTTAGTAAAACTTTATACTGAACTGCAAAATTTATTGTTTAAGGTCATAAACCGCAAGAGTATATATAAACACAAATTAATTTTTGAGGTAGTATGCTAGTGGCTTAAGTAAGTGACTACTACACAAAAGAGTTTTACTTCAAATCGAGTTTTGAAATCGAAGAAACATTGTTTTAATGGCAACAATACTTAAGGAAGAAGTACCAGAAAACGTTTCAAAACATTCAATTTTATTATCTTGATCGATAGGTATATGCTATAAGAAAACAATTGCATAATTCCAAAAGCTGTCCGAAAATCGTGGAACCTGTTGAAAGTATTTCCTGCCGGACCGGACCTTTAAACGCTAGCTTTCAAACTGTTTTTCTCTAAGCCTTGTTTTCCAAATTGCTGTAAGCCATTGCGGTAAATGTAGTAAACCGATTTCTTTTTATAGCTTTTATTTTTATCCAAAACTACTCCAGATCACGGACATAAAGAAAAACTTCTTTTTAAAGCATTTTTTATGCGAAAATAAGCGACAAATTTTGCTAAAAAGCCAATGTTATTGAAGCTTTAGTTTTATGTTTAATGAATTTCCTGAAAATCGTACCCTATCCAGGGTAAAAACCACTCGAGTGAAAAAATTTTTGATTTTGTGGCTTCTTATTTTATCCAAATTACGATGTCAGTAGTTACACAACTTACGGTAACCACATTGGATCAATACATTTTTTTTTTATTCTTTAAACTTTTTTCTAAATATGTATCAGATTAGTTTAATTGGAACCGTTTTAATTTTACCGCAAATAAATCTCTGCTTCTTCGGCAATATTAGGCAATACCAAATCTGTCAGTGTATTTCCGAAATACAAAATCGTCTCACAGAATCCATTAATTATGCTAATATACAATTAATTCTTCTAAACTGTTGCTAACGAATTTTTTGCTGAGCGCAAGCAATTATAAAATATGTTTTTTATACAAATAATCTCTCTGACTTTACTTGATATGTATAACAACTCGGTGGAAAGATGAGCAATATTGGCAATAATTTGTTTTTTTTTTTTTTATTAAAAATACTGCCTAAACAGAAAGTGTGACGTGCTGGAAAAAAACTGCCATGGAAATTTCGCAAGCTTTTTGCAGGCAGACAGATTTTTTTTAATTTTGTTTTTTATTGTTAAAAGTTTTAGGTATGTAGGTGAGTGCAAATTTGGCATACTTCCCTCTTTATTGGCTACAAATTTTAGTATATTTTATGGCGAATATTTGCTAAATATTTTTTTATTTGAGCGCTTTTTTGTTTAAATTTTTTTGTTTGTATTTTATCTGCTTTTAACATACTGTTGAACTCGTAAAAAATGCAAAAGCCTTACCTTGGCAATGTAGCACCGGTCACTTTATGCAAACGAAATAGTTCGACATATTGTGGTAATTGCACTGATTGCGCCAACCAGTCTGAAGTTTGCTCCATGGTCCAGTTATGTACCTGAGGAATACATAAAATATTGACAATATAATTAGAAATGTTGTAAAGTAACTTTTCGTTAAACGAGCAACCAACCTCCGAACGTAGCCACGCCTCCCACAGCTCCTTCACGGAAATGTGCATATCATCGTTAAAATGGAACGCTTTCTGACGCTTCTCATAACCGGAGTCATATTTGAGTTCTTCGCGTAAAAACTAAAGAAACCAACGAAATTGTTATGGGTACAATACAGCACAGAAGCTAAGCCAATTAGTTACAGAACTTATTACCAATGACCATAGTGTAATAATAAAAAGTTTTTCTGCTTTCGTTTTTTTTAATTATTTTTTTTTGTTTACTTACGTCGTCCGATTCGCTCAAATCGATATTGCCATTGTCGTCATCATCAAGCTGACGATGCAGCGTACGTATAGCCTCCATACCCAAACGATCTTGCACATTGCCACTATAACAATCCAAATCATCTGCATGGCAAGCACCATCCGCCGAACCACTGCCCAGTGAACCTGTGTCATTTTGTATGGATAAAAATACAAAAAATGGGGAAATATTAATAAAATTATAGTGTGACATGCTCATTCCAAGTGGGATATTTTTAGGCAAGTCCAATAATTTGCAAACACACGCACACATACGCACATATACTTAGAATAAAGCACACGTATGCGTGTGTGAATATATACATAATAATAATTAAATGCAGAGAGATAAATATTTATTGTATCAAAGCCTGGGGAGGGCAAATAATTGAGATAGTGCCGTTTGGCAGCCAGTTGGCAGAAAACACAAGACACTGTTGGAATTTTACAATCTTGCGCGCATCTTTAGCAAATAATAAAAAAGCCAACGCTTAATCGTGATATTTCGCGTATATGTATGTATGTGTGTGTTAATATTATTACTTTTGTTTGTTTGTCGACAAGTGCGTAAGCAAATCATTAATAAGAATTTGGCTTATTCAAATTGTTGCAGATAAGCAAAAAAAGGAGCGCGGGAGTCACCTGCGGTTAAGCAGAATTAATTTCCTTTGATGAAATTTATGGTTGGGAGTGCGTATGGGTGTGTAGCAGCGCTAATTAGCAGTAGTTGAGGTTTAGGTTTCAAATGCGAACACATTTTTGTTTAGCATTTTTTTAACAAACCATACAAAATAGATACGTATATAAGTACATTATGTTCTAAATATTGTCCTTTCTATCCACTTTCCTCGTATGCCTACCGACCAGCGTGTACATGTGACAAAAAACAAAAATTATGGCTTCCACGCCTTTAGCACGAAAAATGGCCTGGCCCCTAACGGTTATCAAAATCACATATTTTGTATTACTTTTAATGATCGCTATTTTTATCGAAACGTAATTTGGCAATTTATTAGTAACAGTAAACCCTGCTATCTCAATTAATGATTCATTTGTGATGGGAGTGAACATTTGTTTATGCTTTAGTCAGTTTTTTTTTAATAATTACTTTGTAAAGTAAGGTGGGTACACATTTCAGTCATTATCAGTGATTGATTCGCGCAAAATTTAACATTTCCGTTATTTTTGTTAACCGGAATATTAAAAAAAAAAAAAATATTGGGAATTTTATTTATTTTTAATTATTTTTACATAAAATTTCTATTACTAAAATTCCATTTGCACTTTTCAAATGCGTAGCTTTGAACATGCAACAATGTTTCGAATGACTTTAATCTTTAATTTTTTATGCCGGTTATCACTTCCACTTTTATTTCCATTATTTAATAGAAAATTCCACTATTTGACTGTAGCATCTTTATATTAGAGTATACAAGAACTTTTTTGAAGGTGTCACTGCCATTTTAACATGCAATTTGATCGGGAAGTTTCTTATATGTATATCACGCACAGCTGGCATGCCAGAACATCAAGCAGTAAGAAAAGGGCGCAACTTAAAACAAAAATTATAAAACCTAAACTGTTGCGTCAATCGCAGCAATTTATCGGTAAAAATCGTTTGGCTTATGCATTTCGCACCTTAAAGGTTATATTTATAATTAAATCAGTTTCATGAATCAAAGCAAGATATTATTGGATTTACTTTTTCTTGTTTTTGCAAATGCATGTAATTAATCTTTAACGAGCTAATTCTTCGGAGCATTACGTCACATTTACGGGATTATCATTTTTTTGTGGGAAGTAATTAATCGATGTAAGTGATACAATATAGTGGTGTCAAAATTTGAAGCACTTTGTGAAGGCATGTTGCCGCTTTAAAAATAAATTGTAAAAGGAAATTAAAGGAAAAGCATAAGTAAAAAAAGAGAGTTACATTCACAAATTTCAACTTTCGCATTAGTAACTAAGTACAGCACATTCACTCATGCGTTTGTATGAGTGTATGCAAAAATATTGTTTCTTAGTAGATAAGATCAAGCCGATTAACAAATTCGTCATTCACTTCCGACATTTACGTTTGCGTATACATGTATGTTTGTGTGTACTCACTGAATTCATTGCTGACAGCCTGCGACATTGCTTCGCTTAGCAGATTATATGAATTGCGATGCTCCATGTGGCCACTGCCCGCTGGTGATGGATGGTATAAAGCGTGTGTGGCGGCCGTTGGCGCTGCGGGCGCCGGCACAACGCTGTTACTGCCGCCACCACCAGTGCCGCCTTGATGATGCGCCGTTGTGGGAAGATGATGCTGTTGTTGGTGTTGCTGCTGCTGCTGTTCGGCATTGTAGCGATTGGCGGCTATTGTGCCCATAGTGTCGCTGGGTGGGCCGCCACTTTCGACTACATGACATTTTTGCGACGTCACTGCCAAGAAGAGCAGCGCATAGAGCAACAGTTTGCGTTGCATGGTGTATCGTCCGCTGCCGCTAGGTGTGCAGTTCAAGTGTATTATGGGTGTTTGCTTGTGAGTTGTGTGTTATTTTGCGCAAACAACAACGACAGCAACAACAACTTCGGCAAACAAATATTGATAACAATAAATATTTGAATAGAATGCTAATTTAATGGAACGAGATGACGTCTACCTGTAAAGATAAAGAAAAATACGAATATATACATATACATATGTATTTTTGATAGTAGTTGTAAAGACAATTAAAAAGTTGCAATACATTTGAAATTTTGTTAAATGACACTGACTCTGTACATTTGGCGACCAGTTGACCTTACTGCCGTTAGTCGTTCGCCGCGTTATGACTTGTGTTGCGTGTGATTTTGTTTGTTTCTCCTGCTAACAGCAGCTTAGAGCGTGCTTTAATAGCGTAAACTTGCACTGAATGCTATAACGCTATAAGCAGCGCGCGTTCGCCTGCTGTTAGTTAGTACATCACAAACAAAAAAAACAAAAAATCACAAATTACTGCATTTATTCGGATGCAATATTTGCTCGTTTTTCAATGCGTGAAGTTCAAATCCGAAAATACATAATTGAACAAAAAAGCACAAAGAAAATCCATAAAACTGATTTAAACCACAAATTGTTCCGTATTCACTCGGCTGCGAACGTTCGACTGGCTTGTTTGTTATCTGCTGACTGACGGTGTACTGCGAACAGCCGGTATGTCGTCGTATATGCACGCGCACGAATATTGCAAGAAACACAGCGAAGATACAAACAAAATTAATTTCCAAAGATACCTGTACTTATTCCAATATTTACACACTTTTGCATGTATTACACATTTATATTACATACATACATATGTATATATGACTGTATACAAACAGTTGCTTACAATATTCGTAACCCAAAAGTGAGTGCATGCATACAATTGTTTGTATGTAACTTTAATTTGTTTTATATATGAACAAGCTATAACAATTGATACGAGTATGAATTTGGCGAATTCGAGTCGCCGCTATAGACGAAGCGTTCGTGCTTGAGCGTTAGAAAAAGCTAAGCTCTGAATATATGTATGTAAATGCATTCGGAATCGACATCTCATGAGTCAAACAACATTTTTCAAAACAATCAATTCCCCTCTGTAAAAGCCCCCACCTTATTTATGTAAACGTTAGGCGCAAGTGCTCAAAGAGAGCTTTGCGTTTATATACACACACAAATTTATATCTTTATATCTATATATGTATAAAAGAGATATAGGTATGTATGTGTGTATATATATGTATTATTTATATTAATTAGGGTGTCGAACTTAAATTGTAACGAAATATTGTTTCGTGACTTTAGTATTCGAATATTATTAATACTATATGTAATTATTTATTATAAATACATACATAAGTATATGGTTGTTGTATAAAGTATAATTTTAAAGTAGTTTACTTTATATAGCGATCATTCGTACGAATGTATGTGGGCATACATATACGTTTAGAATAAATATTTATTTTTACTTTTTTCATTCATATAAATGTGAACAAAGAAATACCCATACAGTTATACAAAACAGTTTAACATAAAAATATAATTTAAAAAATGCATCAGATACAGCAGGAACTTTACCGGTTTTATATTTCGCAAACATATTTTTTATAACTTATCGACAAAAGGAGCGCATGACATGCCAAAAATTGGGAATACCCGAAGTTCCAATTGAAGAAATAAATTACAGGACTTTTTCAGTTGAGATATGAATCATTCATTCATTCAAATATAGAAGTTTATAATTGAGTTCCAATCCAATTAGATTCATTGATCTCCAGAATGAAATTAAGGAATTTCCAATTTAGATGTCTCTTACGGATTATTATATCACCTTATATCACTGGGGATGCACCATAGGGAATATATTATTAGATGAATCATAATTAAGATATGGAGAAGACCGAATTCATTCTGGATTCGTAAACCGCATGGTTCCGCTGAGGAAAATGTTCATTGATTTGACTTTTAACGGTTGTAACGGTAACCAGTTCCCGTTAGGATGGCAAGGTTCAGAAAACGTTGTCATCGAGCTCATCTAACGGTAGGCCAAGGAAACGAGCTGAGAGAGGTGTTCATTATGCTCCTTAACTGGGAGAATATGGACCGCACTGAACAGATGTTCAATGGGAGACGTCAAGAGGCATCCCATTGTAGTCCGGAGTGTAGTGTTCTAGCATGTATGTAGTTTCCTCGTCCACGTTTGACTGCATTCAGACAATCATATTGGTGTAGCGTAGTTAAAGACCGGCCGGTCGATTGTTTTTTTCACCAAGAAACGAGGTGGTCCTCTGTCCCTTTGGTGGTTGCGGGAGTTTCTAGATGTAGAAGATGCAGAGTAACACCACTCTGAAGAACCCCTTGTTTAATTCTTCTCAATTTAGTGTTTTTAAGTCGAAACAGTACGAATGATCGTCGACCGCTCAGGCAGTTCATAATCCACCTTTTCAGCCCTGGAGGGAGTTTAGATGTTTCGATGTCCTCAAGTAGCATTGAGTGGTTGACTTTGTCAGAGGCTTTTGACAAGTCCAACCCTACAAGGATCGTCTTCTCCCAGGGTGGCTTTTAGTTGAGGCCATGAACTATGCCTTTGTTGGCGGGTTTCCAAGGCTTCAGTAGTGGGACCAGTGGTGTGACCACTATGCCTATCACATCGGATATTTAAAAAGTTGCCAGCGACAGATTGAGGACATTGATAAGGAAGCTTGCTTTCCGTCGCCTAGGCTTTAGCATCAACATGTTAATTTCATCAGGCCAATGGATTTAGAATAGCGTTTCCCAAATACCTGGTCGCGACCCGGTACCAGGCCATTAAAATAAAATACCGGGCCGCAACATTCCCGTCTTGTTTTCAAAATAATACCTACTATCGATTGACCGATGCATCGTAATATTCGTAAGCGGAGATCGACGCGCGCGCGCCCGTAAGTGCCACTCACCGCTGATGACTGACCTGAAGTTGAAATAAAAGAGCGAGGCGAAAGCTCAACCAGAGAACTTTAAGATATAGAGGTGCAAATCGAATTCTGTAAGATGCTCGATTGGACAGCTAATAGAGCTTATAGAATTGGAATTCACCCTTCTCGCTGCTATTTAGCAGAAATGAGCCCGTTCAAAGACAGAAATATATGTAAAACGACTGAATTTAAGCGAGAATGGTAGCATCTCGATTGTTCGAAAAAAAAAAAACAGCAGAGCCATGTCAGTTAGCGTTATCAAATAACAAGGTAAAGCATAGGATTTTGGATATAGCAGATGACATCGAAAATACAGTTGTAAGCCATCTGAAATTATGTCATTATTTTTCCTTACAAGTCGATGAAAGTACAGACATTTCCGAAATTCCAATCTGATATGTTTTGTACGATATGATTATGATAATACTATTTATGAAGAGTTTTTGTTCTGTAAATCTTTGCCAACACGAACGACCTCCGAATAAATATTTAACTTGATTAATGATTATATCAACAAAAACAACAATGAATGGAAAAGTATGTCATTTTCGTTGGGGGTGTTTTTTTTTACGTGGCGGGTCCCAAACCCTGCCCACAACCCTATGTAGGGGATATTTCGCCTTCTCACTTTACCTCGCCTTCAAACGGATGTTCTTAGGCTACCCAGAGGATACTTGGTCAAAGACCGGAAGTCGTGAACTGTTTCAGTCATATGTAAAAGAATCGTTTCTGGCCACTCCTAAGTGAATGGCGATCAGAGAACTCTTTGGAAGGACCTGGTGGAGAAGGACCTGGGAATATCCAATTGGAGCCACGTAGCAAAAGAAACGACTGGCGCGCTGTATCGGCTATAATCGCGTAAGCGGTGTCTACGCCAATTAAGATGAAAAGCATTTAGTAATTTATGTGAAATACAAAAAGAGTACAACATTACTGCATTGCCACAAGACATCTTAACTCAATTTAAAGAGCATTTATTAGAGCTGAAGAGGAATCTTCAAGAATATTTTCCTCCAATCGATGGTAACAAAGCTTGGATAAGAAACCCATTTACGTTCAAGTTAGATTCCGAAACAAATTTTCCAGATGTCGATTCGCTAATTGAACTGTCAACTGATACAGCACTCAAGGATACATTTGACACAAGACCATTGATTGATTTTTGATTATCTTGCCGTCAAGAATACACAATACTAGTAGCTCATCAAGCAATGATTTTTTAGTGAATTTTGTGGCCACTTACAAATGTGAAGCTGGATTTTCAACACTAGTTTACGTTAAAAATAAATATCGACAGAGACTGGAAGTGGAATCCGATCTCAGAATAAAACTTTCAGCAATTTCAGCAAACCTGAACTCTATATCTAAAAATAAGCAACAGCTACATACTTCGCACTAAAAACTGAGTACCAAAGGTACCAAAATATTATATTTCAATACCAATAAAACATTTATCTTACTGTTATCTTGAGTTAAATATTATTAAGTGGGTCACGAAAGGACAGTGTGAAAATTACCGGGTCATGGCAAAACTAAGTTTGGGAAGAACTGATTTAGAATCTTTTGACATTTTGCGCAGCCGTCTACCGAAAGGCGCAGTGTAAATTGCCGGCTAAAATATGTAGCTCATGGCCTGAAAGGCATATTCATAAATTGGAAAGACAAAGTCTTTTCAGTAGTCTAAAGTTTACTCACACCGGTTGCAATACTTCAGGTGTTCTATCTATTTTGTCCGTTTGTGTTTCTTTACCATTTGCCATTTTGGTGATCACAGGGATCAGCATGACCTAAGGTGACAAGCTCTCGCGCCGGGATGAAATTCTGTGAAGCCGGCCTAATTAGCTTTATTAAAGTTAAGGAAGGTACGGTTGCCCACAGAAATAAAGTTGATTGAGATAACTATGGGAAGATAGATACGAGAGTTAGCATAGGTCGCCAGGTTATGCTAAGCAAAAAAAATTCCTCCGGGCACGAGTTGGAATCAATGCCAGAAAGAGTCAGGCGGATACGGAGCAAACCTGCTACAAGACGTTGCTCCAGGCGTATAAAATCCGAGTCAATCCGGTACCGGCTGTTGTGGGAATTGGTGCCTATTGATCAGAAATACACTTACAAATCGACAAAGTGCTTTGAGCCAATTTCAATTTTGTGAGACGGTTAATATCAGTTCTACACTAGGTCAGAAAGATCTCGGAGTCGGATATAAATTCGTATCCATTCAGCTTACGTGAGCTGAGATAAACATTATTGTTATCATAGGTACATAATAAAGCACATTAATTCCTGTGTTGTCGCAAAAGGGGAAAATACAAATACCGATATTCATTAGCTAATTTAAAAAACGTAAAAAAATATTTTCTGTGGAAGTTTCTACGTTAATAGTTGTAATAGAATCAAACATCAATCATTCCAATTAATAGATAATATAAATTGTACATATTTTTTTGTCTAAGTGATATTTTCACATATTTACATACATATGTACGTTTTTTCAAATTAATGTATCTGCATATGTATAGTATATGTACATATGTGTGTACTGTCTACATACAATAATTTAACCACCAAAGCACTCACCATGCTTTGCTGCTTCGAAAACAAAACACAAAAAAAAGTATTTTCAAGGCGATAAAAATCGCAAAATTCAAAGTAAACACAAAATTTGAATTCTATTATTTTACACTTATTCCAATGTTATCACTCCTCAAGCTACGAATGCTTACCAATACTGACTGCTGTTTTTCTACTGCTGTTTGCGGTAAAAAAAAAAAAACAAACAACATAAAACAAAAAGAAGCAATCGGAATACCAACCCACCATAGCCAATTGAGGATTAACATAGTGTGGTTTGAGAACACGTCATTATTTGCTTATCCAATTGGCGAAAAACTCAAAATAAAAAATGGATAAGCAGCTACATATGTATGTATATTGGGCAATGCATAAATAATTTATAGCAAAAACAGTACATACAAGTACATATACACTTTTAAAAATTTGCACCCACTTTCGAAGTTCAAACTCATATTTAAATGGAGCAATTGAATCGTTCTTGAATTTATTGTTATAACGGTATAAATTTTTGCGTGGATACTTTCTAAATTTACGTTTTAACGTTAATAGAAATTTTCTTAAATGTGTTAGTTTTAGACATTTATGTATGCTTTACAACGACATAACATATTAGACGTAATACTTCAAGTTATAACAACATGATATACATATACCATATGCGTATTTTTATGTTAACAAATATCTATACTTGTTAACTTCAGGGGAGAGATGCAGAGGAGGTCATGTCGAAAAGGGTTAAGTGCCAATTGACTGGCGGAAATGTTTTGTATGTACATAAGTCGACACACGCAAACAAGTATTTATATGAAAATATTGACGTTAGAAATGCCATAACTGGAACTTGAACCTGACCGTCAATACGTATTGAGTTAAGTTTTCGTTTTTAACTTTTTCCTCGGTTTTTGTTTCTTATGAATTTGCTGATAAATTCGGGCTATACTAGAATGTAATAAAAACATTATTCAAAAGCATATATGGATATATTAAAACTATCAATATTAAATTATTTATATGTTCCTGTTGCCTCCCAATGAGACTGGGCTCAATTGTAATTTCTTTTAGAAATTAGGTAATAACTGACTTATACATATGTAGCTCAGCGATTATAACGTAGAAGGGTGTGGATGAATTGTTACAAATAATAAAACAGATTAGCCGTACAATGCATTATCACTTTTAAGCCTTTTCTCTAAATGCTATCACTCCATCAATGTCTAGATATGCATATTGTATAGAATTGCAACACATCAGTCTGGAATCTGTAAACAAATGCATTTTTGCGTTGATTTGGATAGTATTTTTTTTTTTTTTTAACATGTATACTTCGATCACTGTTTGCTTGTAGATCCGATGCCTCGCTTACATCGCACACATATGCCTTTAATTATTTATTGCATCTTTTTTGGCTACTTCATTGTATGGCATCGTTGCGGCTTGTATCATTATACAAGCGGCTAGGCAATAATTAAACAACACAAATCACACGCTTCTGCCACTACCACTGCCAATGCTATTGTCACTTGTACGCCAGCGCTGGCTAGTTAGCCGTTTGTGTCAACGCTAGCGCTGGCATTTACCTTCGTCGTCACTAGCTGGCTAACTCGTCATTTTGTAAAACTTCTGATTTTCTTACAATATTATTTTTTAACACTTTTTAACTCTTTACCAATGGCACATCCTTTTGTACTTCTCCTACCAACGTAAAACACAATCAATTTTTAAGTATTTTTCCACTTTTTATTACGAATTCCGTCCTATAAAAGGCCTATGATCAAGAAATTAAATATTTTCCGTTTTCTTCCCGTTCAACTAAATAATGACACGAACGAATAAGTTTTCAAGCTCACATTTGGGTGCATGTGTGAAAAGATTGTGATCGTTGCCAAACCAACGTGAATATAAAATCAATTTTATTCCCGTTTTCCATAAAATATTACACATAATTAATATCCTCCGTAACAATGCATAATAACCTGGCTAAATAAATTTCATTCACTAAAAAATGTTTCAAAACATTTACATAATTGAATAAAATACTAAAAATCTATAAATCTCTTTGGTCAATGCTTGCGTTGATTAGTTTTTGATCTGGTGGCTCTCAATCAGCTGACAAACGTATTTGGAGTACGATTAGCAAATGAAAACAAATACGGCGAAAACGAATGGGGTGATAAGAAAACTGATTGGGTAATAGGGTTGTCGAAACGCTATATAAATTTCCCAGTTTATTATTCTACTTATTTGCAATGAATATAAAAAAAATCACTTTAGAAAATTATTTTTATTAATGAATGTGTTCCAAAGTACACACTTTTCGTACCTTCATATATGATAGAAGAAAAAAGTTTAATTTCCTTTATTATTTTTTGATATTTGTATAGAAAATATTTATTGAACCGTTGCTTTGCGATCACAATGTTTACATTTTTCTGCTTGTAACTTAAATAAATATATTCCAAACTCTTAATTTTCAAGTGGTAACCCATTACTGATATTTAAAAGACTTTTACTTTCATCGAGACGTTGTGGTCCTGTACCAATCCTTGTATGAATTACATATTTAAAAAGATTCTTATCATTTTTAGGTAAAGTACCATTATTGTAGAAGGCGTCGATCTAAAAAAATATTCATATTTATTAAAAGAAAAAATTATTCTTAATGAATTCAAATAAATTTCTACGTACCTCTTTCGGCTCACACCTTATCGGTATGCCCTTAACATATTCTACACTGTCTCCTGCATCATTCGGAAAACTGTTTTGTATTGCCGCCAATGCAGCACTTACATCTTTTTCTAAAAGAAAGAGGCAAGCATTTGGTCCAGCATCAAAAGTATAAGCCAACTTTACTTCGCCTGCTTCTTTATTAAAAGCGTGAACAAAGTCCACAATTGCATGTGACACATTATTCATGTATGCACATGGTGGAAATGTGTCTAAGGCAATAGCATGAAATTGATTCGAATCGCGCATAGTAATTTCTGCCAACTTAGGGAAATCATGGTTTTTTATTGCATCGATCACTGCCGCTATATGCTGTGGTACGCAATGTTGTGCACGATGTGTTAACAAATCTGATGTTTCTACAGCACGTTTCATACCGTTAGTCGAGCTTGTTTTCTTACGTGAATCGTTTACCACCAATATGATGATATGAAAGTCCGGCCAATGCTCTGCAGGTACAACAGGAGAGCCCATTGAATCACTACCATCATTACGTGTACCCATGTGCCAACGTACAAAACCGCCGTGTAAGCTGCGACATGCAGAGCCACTTCCTTGGCGAGCAATTGTCGTTAATTCTTCATTTTCCACGCCATAAAGGTGAGCAAGTGTATATACAAGACAAGCGTAACCAGCTGCGCTTGACGCCAAGCCCGCAGCAGTTGGAAAATTATTACGCGATGCTATGTGTAGCTTCCACTCTATGGGGAACTTTAGTTTTCCTTTAGCAATAGCAAGTTGTTGTACTAAAATATTGAAATTTGAAAAATTATCCATATTATTTCGACAATGAACTTACATTCCTTCACACAACGCATTATCCGTGCATTCTGCTCAAATGGCACCTTTTCGCCATTTAACCACATTACGTTATCTTTAAAGCAAGCTGAAGCAGCTGCTGTTGTTTTAGCGCACATCTGAAATGCATTTCCGTAACAAAAGGTTTTTGTTTACAATAATTTACATTTATGAATTAAACATATATTCAAATGGAAATTACCTCATCGGTGTTAAGGGTCACACTGAGCGAGTCGTTGATGGGTAATATGAGTTCCTCATCTCGTTTTCCCCCTATAAGTAAAGTCATATTTAAAAACTGTTAACTACTTATGCATGTGTTGTATGTATGACTTGAAAAGTGAAAGTTAACTTACAATATTTGATTAGTGCAATGTTTACAGGTGCAATGCATGTTTCAACAAACATTTTCAAGTACAAAAGTATATGATATATTAACAATTTGCTTAGTTATTTATATTAAGTAGTTGCTACACCTCTAACTAAACACGACTGCTCCACTTTCACCAAGTAAGATACTGGCAGTTGGAATCATTTCTTGGTGCAACTTTTTTACAGTGGAATTGAGAGATCACACATATTCCAAATGTTATTGCATACCATCGAACAGCTGTGAAGCAGAGTTGCTGAGTTTTTGAATCATTAAAATAATGTAATAGATTATTGACAGTGGTGGCGGGAAGATACATCTTTATACAAATTATTTTTTTTCTCGCTTTTTAACGGTAAATCAGTCACTGTAAACTCAGGAAGAGTGTCTGCGATTAAAAATAAAAGCAATAGCAGTTGCCAAAAGACTCCACGAAAAGGGTAAATTGGCAGGTTTTTTATGAGCTGAGGCTGAACACAATGAGTGCGACCTACTGTAAGCGACTTCTGTAAAATATTAAAATACACACGTTCTTATGGACACTGTTCTTTTGGACAGCTGCACGATTACACGACATTTGTCGCTCTCGCTAACTTCATTTTATTTTATTTTATTTGCCAACGACCGTAGAGAAGACACTAGAGAGACGAGGTGAGTGGTGATGGCACTAATATGTAAAATTATTCAAAGCTAAAGCATAAAATAGCTTTATTATATCATTTGTAATAACAATTGATAATTTAAAACAAATAAATTTACCTATTTACTTAATTTTTGCATAACAAATTTCACTTTGAACAAAATATTAAAATTTCATCGAAGTGCAAGGTATTAGGATGGCCACAACGAAATTGCGTACATGCAAAATGGACAGCTGTGTTGTCTTGTGTACATGCATCTCGTCGTGCTGCCATGTCGTTTGTCATTGGGTTCAGCACATCAATGTGGTGATGTGAATGAGCAGACGGCATACAAAAGATCGAAGTCAACTGTGCATATCTATCTTATATATTATATTTTCCTCTCTTCCTTTTGTGTATAAATTCGGTATTTATGTAGGTAATCAAATATCTGATACCAACAATTTCGCTATGAAACACTTTCACATACACTAATTACAAGTCAAGCTTAATTGTTCGAAAAAGGATTACATATTTCTTTTCTAAATTTTAATTTCATACATACATATATTTTTATATTTAAAATTCCAGTTTCGGATATAAAGTGGTTATATTTGTTGGTTATCATGCACTCATATTGAAACAAAATTTGAGTTTTCATACATACATATATTTTTAATCGGTGTATAGTGTATGCAGTGTATATTTAAATATTATATTTCTCGTACATAAAATAAAGCGTTGCTTTTTATTCTATTTAATAGCTGGAATTATAAGCTTTTCAAAAATCTTTATAGCAATGATATACTAACAAATAAATGGTTTTACATACATATTAACGTATAAAGTACTTTGTGTGCGAATATTCGCAATTACAGGCAACACAAATAAATCAAATATAATTAAACAATAAGAAAAGGAGTTTTCACCCATACAGTAATGCACTAAGTTTGAAATGATGAATTTCGTAAACGGATGTAGTTAATACACTAAGAGTTCCAACATAAATAAGAACAATTTTCCATGTCTGTCAACATTTAAGCGGCCTGCACAGACTGTTTCTGTGACGAACTGATCTTATCACCTAAGCTTAGTGCCATGCCCTGAAAGTACAAGTATTTAGTTTAAGAATTCAATAGGTTTGATACTTTGAATAGTACCTGGCTTTTAGCGCGTATGCGTATGTGGCCGGTAACTTTGGAATCGGGATCGTCCACAGGTTTTTCGATGCTTAAATTAGCAAGGGCGTTTTCACCAAAGATTGATCTTGAATACAATAAACATTTAATGCATTTTTTGCCATAAGTTTCATTGACTTATTTAACTACTCACTTCGCATACATATTTGCAGCCATAAATCCACATTGGCCGCTGAGTGCCTTCTCCGGAGTCAAACATTTCATGTTGGTGCTCTTCAACAAATGCTTCAAATATTCATGCAAATCGGTGAATGTAGTGTTAACCGTTACCTAATAAAGTTACAAATAATACGTCAAATATTGAAGAAGCCGAAATATATAAAATAAAATGCGCACCTTATTTTCCCACTCGAAATCTTGCCACATCTGTCTAAACTCAGTGTCAGTGCACGAAGCGGGTATTATATAATCCATAATGTCAATGTGTATGGTGTTCAGCACAACAACATTTGTATTGATACTCGTATCGTAAACTGCAAATATACATAATAAATAATCACAGGTCCACATGAGTTAACTAAATATTCTGCTCACCGATATTTCCGAAAATTATGCCATTCTCAGTGGACGATACTTTCACATTTGCCTTGATGTTGCAGAAGTCATGAGGCGCCAATACAACTGGATGTGGTCGTTCAACCAATTTCAAATCACCCAAAGTTGCCAACTCGAGTGTACAGTTTTGTAGCGTATCGTCTGAGATTTAAGAGTTTGCTTATGAGCGATTTTCGTTTTGAAGTAAATTTTAGCACTTACTTGTTTGATTAACAATCAATACATCCAGGACGATGTCGTATTGGTTGACATTTACATAAGCCTCAGCGTAGACTGGATCAGAGAAGCCGGTCAATTGTGTTACCTTATTGAGTTTGTTATTTGGCGAAGTGATGTCGCTCAAATTGGTTGATTTTGTGCCGGCCAACGCTTGATTCAAACTAGTTTCGAACACGTTCTCGCCCAGTTGATTGTCACGCCCATTAGATAGTTGTGCAAATCCAACGGGATCATCAGGCTGTACCTTAGCAGCAGCACGTTGTTTCTCTTTCAAAATGCGTTGATCCTCTTCATGTTGTGCATCCAACATTTTGCCAAGTGCGTCACGGCAATAATGTTGGAATACTTCGACGGCCTCTTTGGTGCGTTCACTCAGGGTGCGCAAACAAATGAAGATACGATCTATGTCATCATTAGTGATGGGTTTCGTAGGGAAACCGGATTTTCCCAGATGCAATATGGAACTCATAATGAGCATGACTTGTGTAGTCAAACGATTTTGTTGACGCTGCAAGGGGACAGAATGTTTAGTTGTGGAAAGTTAAATAATTTTGGCAAATAAATTACTAACCACATCATCTTCCAACTCGGCGTATCGTAGCGCTAGTTTAGTTAGAGTGGCTGAGAGTGCAGCTCCAATGAAGAAATCGCCATCCATTAAATACTGGCGTAGTGGTGGACGTTTCTCCTTCTTTGCGACACTGCGAACGTAAAACAAAATATAATTTTACCGATGTAAAGGTATTTTATTATTTGGTGTATGAAAGAAAATTCAACTTACGGCGCCAAACTGAAAGCACTTTGGGTGGCATATGTACCATCTGAGGTGACTTTATTACCCGCAGAAGCCGTGTTGGTCTCAGTGGCTTTCTGTCCCTCGTCGGTTTGTTCACCCGCTAAACGTTTTTGCTCCGCTTCAACCATCGGTATCTCTCCCAAAGTCTGTATTATGGTTTCGGTTACCTCGAGTATCTGCTCTTTGTTGTCTACATATTCACCTAATATCCAGACTGCGGCACGATGTATTTTCGACGACTTTATTTGTGGGAATGCTTCAATTAAACGCTCGATAATAAGTGCACGTAGTGAGGGGAACTTCTGTATAGCCTCACGTATGAAAATCAACACATCAGCTGCAGCGAATTCATTTGTATCGGAAAGGAATTCAACTAACACGGGTATTACATTTGCAGCTACGTCAGGGAATTTAATGGAGCACGAGTGTAATGTTCGTACAAGCAATTGACGATATTTGCCAGTGTCTTCATGTTCAACATTATGGGTTTTAGAAACTTCTTTCTTTAGTACCAGAACCATTTCTTCGATATTGCGTGATGAGACTAAATCCATGGCAAGTGCCAATGTCTTTCGACGCACTTCAATATCTGGTGCTGCCAATACACGTAGTATATCCATCACTAAATCTTGCATCACTTTCTCCATATTTTCATTTTCTTTCATAGCAATTAAACGATCCAACACAATAAGTTTGACATTGTTATCGCTATCACCGACAATCAACTCAATATAACAACTGGCTGCGGCACGAATAGCGGTTGGTGCAGACGATAGTGTAATGAGTGTGCCGGCTGCTTCATAACGCACAGCATTTGATGATGAATTAAGCAAGTTGTAAATGCAACGTATAAAACGCGAACGTTCTGCTGGATTGGCGTGACACACTTTATAGATGAGCTCAACAATTACCAATTGTAGAATATCACCAAAATTGTTTACTTGGTCAATGCAAGATGCCAGATAGTTGAGTGCACGTTCTTGATCAGCATGCAAGAGCATCAAAAAAGCATTTCGCTTGCAAGACATATCTTGTTGAGTTTCCAAGAAATTAGCAATCAACTCTGGACCGTCTGGCACTAACCAATCAAAGTTTTTGTATATGGTGAAAATGGCCAAAACTGCATTTCGTCGCACGTAAGAATGACGATGTTCAAGACAAGCACGTATGGCTGGCATGAGTGGCTCCAAAAGCTCAGGCTCTTTTAGTTTACACAAGAAACGTAGAGTTGAGCCACGTAGAAATTCATTGGGATGTTGCAAGTCCTTGCGGTATGCATCACACACCAATATCATTTCTTGCAAAAGTTTGCCATCTGCTGAGGTTTTCGGCACGATCTCCCAGAAGATGAGTAATAGTTTTTTGATTTGATGATTCTGTACCGGAAGCACGAATCTGATGATAGTCATTATCAGACCAGATAAACGTTCCCCGTTCAACAACATTTGTATAACTTTTTTCAATGTCTCGATTTTCATATTGGTATCTCCCTTTTCGAGGTCTTGTTTAAGTTGCATCTCGTTCGGTACCTCGATGTCCGGCGAGTTGATGATTGTATAGCAAGGTCCCTCGGCCAACGCCATGTTTGTTGCACAAATTTATCAAATGGTCTTTTCTGTACTAATTTAAGGAATTAATTCAAATGTATATGATTTATACAATTCGTGCACAAATATGGAATACACTCAAATATTGTTTAGATTACACAAATTGTATTTAATTTTATAATTTTCAAGAAAACATGTATTGTGGAAATACAATTGACGTGTCAAATACTCAGCTAAAATTGTGCTACTTCTTCTGCGAACATTTACAATGGACAATGACATCTGTTCAATGGCATTGCCAACCACGATGCAGTTGTCATCATTTGTAACGTCAGATGACGCTCTAATTTGTTTACTGTTCAATTTTTGATTTTATTTGTTTTTGTTTGCGAGTAGTAAGTGCAGTTTGGATTGGACACGACATCAAATAAGCTTTCCTATCCACAATAACTGTGGAGGTAGGTTGCTCATATAGAGTTTATTGAAGTATTCTATGAGCTATACGAAACGCAGAGAAAACATGGGGCGCACGATACATATTCATCGAGTGCCCGCTACCATTGCCCTCATCACGATAACACTTATTATAGTGTATTTCGTGAATTTCCATGACGATGAACGTCCTGCTGTATATGGTTTGCTACGCAATCAAAATAAGGTGAACTTACGCAAACTTCTGATAGGTGCCATACAGGCGGCACAACGCGGCGGCTTGGAAGTACTGGATGTAGCTCAATCGCGAGATTTAAGAGAACGTAGTAAAGGTAAAACAGACGAGGGTGCAAACGATCCATTTACGGATGCGGATGGACGTTCCCATTGTGTCATGAAAGAAGGGTTACATCGTATTTTCCCACGTGTTAAAATATACTCTGAGGAAGACAAAGAAAGCTGTAGCAACGTGAATACTTTCGATTTAGATCCCACAGTACTGCATGAAACAGCCAACTTGCCCAATGAATTGGTTGATATAAAAGATGTCACAGTATGGATTGATCCTCTAGATGCAACTCAAGAATTTACAGGTATAAACATTTAACTCCTGTCTTCGTTTTGGAAAAATCATTTATTAATAAAAATTTTTACAGAAAAACTTTATCAATATGTCACAACCATGGTGTGTGTAGCAGTGAAAGGAAAACCCATTATCGGAGTTATACACAGTCCGTTTATAGGGCAAACTGCGTGGGCTTGGGTGGATCATTCAATGTCTGAATATTTAGCATCCATACATCCTGTCAATACAGACACTTCAAAACCACTTATTACGGTATCACGTTCTCACGCAGGTAGCGTAAAAGATTTAACACGCAATGTTTTTGGTGAAGATTCAGAGATCTTAACGGCTGCCGGCGCTGGCTATAAAGTTCTGCAAGTAATATCCAATAATGCCACGGCGTATTTGCATTCAACGAAGATTAAAAAATGGGATATTTGCGCGGGAGATGCTATTTTAAATGCGCTTGGTGGAGCTATGACGAATCTTATGGATGAGCTAATTGATTATGGGCCAGAAGGCTCACCAGTCAATGATCAGGGATTATTAGCTACGCTTAAAAACCATGATGAGTATATCGAAAAATTGATGGAGTATCGAAAGAGCCACACTGCACCTGCGCACAGATAGCTTGAAAGTTTTTGATGTAAGGATTTAGAAACTAGGTAAAAAGCTCAGGCTATTATTTTTAGGTTATAGATATTGCGTAATAATATAACTGTTTTTGTACTCATACTAAACGTTCTTGTGTTCCAAAACAGTATACGTGGGAATAAAAAACGATGCGTGTGTTTTCAACAAGAAATATGTTGATTTATTAAGTTCATTGAACCGGCATTAGTCGAAAGTCCGTAATAAAGTTCATTACATAATTATGCCAATCGCTAAAGCTGTTTGTTGTATAAAAAACCTGTTTGAGGTAATTATTAAAATTCTAGCTTGAACATCTTATCTCTTTAGCTTTTGATGTCAATATTAATAGAAAGCAAAAAATAAACGATTCTGGTAAACATGCTAAGCTCTAATTGTCACTTAGTTTTTTCCCCCATACGTTTAAGAATTAATTTGAATCTATAGAATGCACATACATATATGTATGTATAATGAGAATCTATAGAAATTGTGTTGTTATAATTTATAATTTTGAAATCATTCTCTTGATTTTACTTAGTTCCAATCCCCACGCCATTAATGGCTGTAGAATAATATATTGCTTACATATACATATGTATGTGTCTATACAAGTGTTTGGAAATAACTGCGTATGCATTTGTTTTTGACACCATTGTATTTTTTTTTTTTTATATTTATTACCAAAGAATTACCATTGTACAAGCGGCAATATACTTGTATACTACAAAAACAGCTGATTGCTGCACTTCTTATTTTCCTTTCATTTTTCAGCTGACTCCGGCCACGGCAGTTAAAAGCATTTGTTATCAGTTATAAACTGAAATGATATCAGTGTATTGACCTTAATTAGTTTCTAATAGATAGTGCAATGATTAGCGATGACTGTGTGCACAAGATAGAACTAGATAATCTAGAGAACGACGAAATTATAAAGCACACGATACTAATAATTAAGGGGCATATTCGTCAACAGCGACAGGCAAAAAAGTGCAGAGAGCAACACATTTTATTACGAGTAAGGCATGACGCTAGCGTTCTAGACGCAACTTGGGAATTGCAGATACAATCGAAAATTTCCAGAACCGGTCAGTTCAAACTACTTTGTGATTTTGCCCAGCATGAAATCGAGACAGTCTGTACCAGAACACCACTGATACTAAATTTTAGTTACTGCAACATCGTCTATCAGTGCGAGATCCTGTATGAATCTACCGCTTACATCAAAAATACTTATCGACTGCAAGCATTGTACATCACATGTGTAAATCAGAAGCCTTTAGCAGGGGAACACGTTCTTGAAAATTGTGAAAAAATCAATTTGAATCTACGCTTGGTGCAGGCTGTATATGCCGAACAGTTGCGATCTGCTGGTTACGGTAGAAGAACTTTTACATTGAACAGCGACTGTAAAGTATTTGAATCACGCTTAACATGTGAAGAAGTTTGGGAGCAGTCTGAAGAAAGTTTGTGGCAAAATTTTGCAAAAGAAATACTTAACTCGTCTACTTGGGGTGGTGAGGGAAAATTGAAATTTGTTGCGTTTATTGGTTGTACAAAATATGATGGCGCAGCCGTAGCAGTCACAGAAGAATTCTCTTATTCAAACATACGAAAACATTTGAAGGGCCACGCAGCACTAGGTGGTGGTGGTCTAGCGCTTTTTGGTGCAGCCTATTTATATGCATGGCCCCGGAGGTTTAACGAAATCAATGCATGTTTTGGCAGCAACAAGTTGATTGATCTGTCACAATTACCAGACGATAGCAACTATCGGCGTACATATGGCGGTGTTTATGCAACTACTTTAGGTGCCGTAGTGCATGAAATTGGACACACTTTCGACTTAGGTCATACTAAAGATGGTGTGATGGGCAATGGTGTCGATTACATTAATCGTGTTTTTACAATAGACAATTTGACCGAACATCTACCGGAGAGAGTAATACAGCAACCGCAGGCAGAACTGCGTACTGATATCGCGACGCGTCCACGTTTCACACAACTCAAACGTGCCACAAACGCGTTTTTGGAAAAGTATCACGAACAGAAGATAAATGACTCATTTTATTTCACTCCAAATTGCGTAATTATTTTAGCTTATAATAAATGGTTTGGAAATTCGAACAACTATAATGTTGAAGAGAATACGGAGGATGGTCTAATAACCTATGATGCCGTTAATAGCTGTGTCATTGTTGAAGGACACGAGAATCCACTGCGTCTGATAGAGGTACGTAGTGTTGATAACAGTTTAGTGAAATATTGGTATGAGCCGCAGTCAAACAAAGAGTGCAGTGAAATTTATAAATTCTACTTGCCAAAGGAAGCGCTCAAAGCGCTCGGAGAGAATCATTATTTGTTTGTGTTAACACGATCGGGCATAGCAAAGCGTTTTTGTGAGCATTAAAATGGGTGTTTCAAAAATGTAAGTACTATGTACAATATATAAAATTGATATGTATGTATATATTTCATTGGAGTTTAATTTTAATCGGTTTTACCTAAAATAGTTGGGAATATAGCTGTATGCGTTATAAATATATAACTTTATTATAAATGGCTTAAAATATTATTATCTTTCCACTTTTTGTGCTTTACTTCCGATTAGGTTTAAATTTCTTTAAGGTCATTAAAAAGGGCCCCTGGTAATTTTTTGGTGGAAATTATAAAGCATTTTTTTAATTTTTTAACAAAAAGCGAATCATCAAATTTCCCTTTTTTTTGTAATCGGAAATGGTTCACATACTTTAATATACTATATGTATGTACATATGTATGTTTGTAATAACTCTTTAAACTTAGATCATCTACAATTTTTTCTCTATAAAAACTATCATATTTTCGTTATTTTTCAGCACAAGCATGGCCATTTCACCGAAATTAATATAAAACTGAACAATATTTATTTACATTGCAGCAAAGTTTTTTTGATTAAAAACAATATATATTATATATTCTTTTGATGGTAAACAAATCGGTAATCAGAGTCACAATATCAACACTCACAAGCATACACACTCACAGCAATATAAGACTAAATACATATAAAATAGTAATCTGTGCTATAATAAGCCATACATATGTATTTACAATAATTACAACAATAGTTGACCGAAGTGGAGCTACTCGAAAGTAACCGCAAAACAAGAGAGCAACCTTTCTTTGAAAACCTTGATGAAATAAATAAACGAGTTAATTGTGTATTAGCGCTTAACCAGCAGTGTGCTAGTTGTCGCCTTGATGCCGCCAAAGTCACTCACGCAAGTAGCTTACCAGCCACGTTAGCAGTTAAAAAAAAAAATTAAGACGAACAAAGCGCGACTCAATCATCGATAGTTTAGTAAGCTACCAAAACAATAACAACGAAAGCTTTATCATCAGCTGACATCGCTGCCTTCAAGAAGTATTCGCAACAAGTTTTGAAAAACAAAAATTTCCAACTATTTTAACAAAAAATTAACGGCGCTGACTAATTTTGAAAACTGCGAACTTGAAAAGATAGGCAAAATAAACAAATCTGCTTGAAATACGTGTATATAGAAGTATATTCTTTGTTGTTACTATGTGTGCAATACAAGTATAGCGGGGATATCAACCGGAGCATTTAAGAGCGATAGTTGTTTACAAAATAAATGATAAGATAAAGTCAAACCATATTAAGGCGAAATCGAACCGAGTATTTAACGCTTTGATTTTTGCAAATTTTGTACGTGCCCGTCAATATAGGAAGTTACACGCTATTTGCCGAAAGAAAAGTATAGTGCGCGGATAAAAAAAAAAAAAAATAAACTAGTGCCTCTGACTTGTTTTATTATAAACACAAATATAAACCAGTAAAAAGCGCTGCAAGAATGTCAACTCCACGTATACAATTTAAAGCATTGAAGGGCTTCCCGCCAGCCACTAAAGATAAAATCGAAACTGAAGCATTTCTGGAGTCTGCAAAGGAAATTGTAACTGTTATTGGTGAGTGAGCTTCAAATTGAATATGTAGCTATTTGAATGTAATTACGTGAAATAATTATGTAAGATCTGGCAAACACATACATATGTACATACGTAGATACTTATGTACATACATTCTATAAATTTATTTTATTTATCTATGACATTTTTTAAACATTTAACACTAACACCCATGTGCATATGTATGTATCTATGTTTATGCATGTAAGATTTTATAGTATTAGTTTGCACAAAAGTATTTTGAATTTAAAAGACAGATTTATTGCAATATGCACAGCACCTTTATCGTTTGCACTCAGCTTTTCATTTATTTATTTTTTGTTTTATTTATTAAGTCTTTAGCAGTGTATTATTTTTATTTGTTCGCAATAATGTTATAAGTCTTTTAAATCTTTGTGTCTGTTATCGCATTTTTTTGCCTTTTATTTATGGTAGATATCACACATCGCTTATATGTAAAAGAGTTTACACCTGCACATATTGACATACTCATCACGCTGTGATTAACTAACATCACAAAAGTTTTAGTACGAACTGTGTTATTTTAAATATCTTTTCTATATATCTATCTAAGATATAACGTTTGACATTGATAACTTTTTAATTATTTTCTTTATAGTAAAATAATATTGAATTGATGTATGTTTGAATATTTTTCTGAAGCATTTTAGATCTTGTCTTTAATTGTCATTTTTACCTTCTTTTGAAATAACTGAAAAATGTTTTTATGATTGATTATGATTGTTACACGGAAATTGAAACGTTTTCCCCATGATCTAGTGTAGAATAGGTAATTTCATACATACAAACATTTTGCCTCATTTGATACACAATTTGTAACACGGTCAGAAACGTCTAAGATCCCATAAGGCATACAATCGCATGCCTATATAAAAAAAATGTCCATCTATATGCGAAGTAGTCTCTCAGTTTATGTGCTATCGATATGAAAATTTCCATACGTTTTTTCTACCCGAGAAGTTACTAATTTCTCAGAACCGGCGATATCGCTCCAACATAGGATAAAGCTATTATACAAACTGACTAATCAAAATCAAATAATTTTTTGAAAAAATTTTTTATTGGACAAAATATTCTCATGAAATTTAACCAAACTTATTAACTAAGACGACACTACAATTCCGGAATATATTGCCCAGATCGAATCACTGTCTGTCATAAATATATTTTTTCCTTATTATTCGATTTGAAGTCTGTCTAAATCCGTAGATCTAAGTGATGTATAATAAATTCTAAGGCAAAAAATTAAATTAATTTAAAATTCACCTAGATTCGTTATTGCCATTTTACCGTAATTTTAAAGTATAATTTACCTCACCTTTGTGCTTTAAAATAGTTGGTCAGCTTAACTAAAATCATCAATATTAACTTAAATCGACTTAACCTATTTTAAACAGAAATTCTTCAAAATTCTTCAAAACTTCTTCATTTGAAGCTTTCTTAATGAAGGGTGATATATTTCGAGGCTCTTTAGCTCTTTTTAAAGAAAAGAACTGAAAATTCAAATGTAAAGTACCTCTAACGGGATCACCCGTTATTAACATACTATTTGTGGCATAAAAAATCAAATACACAAGCATGTAAACTCGGGCTATCCTCATTATAACTGCTTAATTATTATATGAATATTATTACTAAATGGGTTTGCCTTTTTCTTCCGCCAGCACATAATCTTATCTTTTTTGCATATAAATCGCTTAAAATATTACCAATTTATTGCTCATATATAAACATCAAACAAAGTATTGATAATAACTCAAAAATTCAGTAACGAAAGGGAATCACTTTCGTTGCACGTTATCATTTATTGCCAAATTGTTTGTTGTTGTTTCTAATAAAATAATAAAAGCATGCTAGCTTTACCAGTTATGTGCATATATATGTATGTATGTACATTTGATAAAAATGATAAACATATAAGAGTGTACTTGCAAATAAAAACACCCAACCACACTTGTACCTTTTTATGCATGTATATCTTGCAGAGTCCTTCGGCAAACTATTTACACCTGTGATAAGTGATATGAACGGCAATATTACGGTAGGTCAATGATAACAATTTTAATTATTAAACTGTATTTATAATTTCAATTTGCCGTTAACACGCTGAAATTAACGTCAAATTTTTACAGAAATTAACAAAAGTCTATAATATGGACAAAATCAAATATGTCTACCTCGAGGATATGATCATCTTGAATGTAAAAGTGGACAAATTCGCTGCAGATGCGCTTTTGTGGCTGAAGCGTGGACTACAATTAATTTGCACCTTTTTCGAAAACATATTCTATGACGCGCAAGCGACGGACGTGCTGAAAATACATTTGCAGAATGCATACGAGCGCACGCTGAAGCCTTATCACGGTTTCCTAGTGCAAGGCACCATAAAAGTAGGTTGTTGCGGTTGTGGTGAGCAGGAAAAATAGCAAAAATCAATAAATAAATAGGTTATGAGTACTTTTTCATTGCAAAAATTGTTTTTTTTTTACATTGCAGATAATCTACAACTGGGTGCCCACACGCTCACAGCTGATCGGTACGGGCGAGGCACACGATGAGAATCTGCAAGAATTGGGGAAATTTCTACCGACAATGCGTAGCCACTTGAATCGCATCGATGCGCTGCTAAAGCAATGTAACGTTGATAATGCTAAGGTGTGAGAAATGTGCAGCACAGAGCTGTTTTTTTTTATTTTTTATTATTTTTTTATAAACACTTAACCAGTTGATCCAAAGAGGCTGCTATATTGACAACATATGAATTTAGCGCCTAATTCAGACCAGTTTGAACCATGTTATCATTTATTGATACATGCATAATTTATGTATTAAGCGTTTTACATTTACGACCCATGTTACTTTAATGTACTTTAGTGCAAGTTATTTAATGTATTTAGTTGATAAATAAATTAAGATTTCGTGTAGTACTAATGATGCTTTGCACTTTATTATAACCTTTTTTATGCCATTTTATTTATTTAGTTAATAAAATTTGATAATTTTGTTGCAAAGTAAGATTTACAAATTAGAATAAATTAATTAAATTTAATAAAAACTTTATATTTAATTAAACTATAGCACATTCTACGTGTCCTCAGCATTTGCGCTTTCGTTTTTGACATTTCGCATTTGCAACGCGATTTGGCGCTTCAGTTTGTGCAAATCATTTTGATGTTTCGCAAAGATATGCCATGCCCACATGCCGGCAATCAATTCAATTAGCATTAAACAAAAAATTAACTCTATGATGAGATATATGAGCGCCCAATCACCACGCACGGCGAGAAAGAGAAACGCAAGTAACGGTAGTTGTATTAACGGTGTTGTCACAAGAAAGATGCTCAGCTCGCTGATCTGTTATTTAAATATAATTGTTTTAATTTTATGTAAAAACAAGAAAAAACGTTAACTTTAGTTGCACCGAAGTTAAATACCTTTCACATTTTCATTTCTGTTAGTAATTATGTGTTCAGTTTGTATGGAAGCTATATGCTATAGTAATCTGATCTGAAATTTTTTTTCGGAGATTATATTATTACCTTAAGCAGTAATCCATGTCAAATTTCGTGAAGATACCACGTCAAATGTGAAAGTTTTCCATACATGAACTTGATTCCGATTGTTCAGTTTGTATGGCAGCTATATGCTATAGTTAACYGATCTGAACAATTTCTTCGGAGATTACATTGTTGGCTCAGGAAATTATCTATACCAAATTTCGTGAATATATCTTGCCAAATGTGAAAGTTTTCCATACAAGAACTTGATTCCGATCGTTCAGTTTGTATGGCAGCTATATGCTATAGTAGTGCGATATCGGCAGTTCCGACAAATGAGCAGCTTCTTGAAGAGAAAGTGACCTTTGCAAAATTTCAACACGATATCTTAAAAACTGAGGGGCTAGTTCGTATATATACAGACAGACGGATATGGCTAAATCGACTCAGCTCGACATACTGATCATTTATATATATACTTTATAAGGTCTCCGACCCTTCCTTCTGGGTGTTACAAACTTCGTGACAAACTTAATATACCCTCTTCAGGGTATAAAAAAGTATTTTCAACTGAAAGATAACACTCACAAACCTCTGCGCCCAAGTTGCCTTTATAGCCCGCCCGTAAGCGATAAACTTCGGCCAACAACGATAATATGTAGGCGACTATAACTGCGCGTCCATAGAAGTTCTGCAACTCTGACAACTTTTTTTGCATGGATATGGAAAAAAAAGATTAAGATATAAATTTGTTTTGCCAAAATATTTTACATATGCGCCACTTACATTATAGAGTATATAGCAACCGTAAATTATACCCAAAATTAAGGACATGTAAACATTGATTAGCATAGCGGCTTGTAGCCAAAGATTGGCGTTGTAAGATATGTCTGGAAATGCAAATTAAAAATGTACGAAACATATTAAAAATGTATGATTTTTGCTTACCCTCCACGCTGGATTTTGCCAGCATTTTAGTATTGAACATTTTGAATAGTTATGCGGCCGCGATTTGAAGTCAGTTGTGAGCACTAAGAAATAAACATCATATTTACAAATGTATGTATGTATGTATATATGTACTTATATATGTAACCAAGGCGACTTGTTTGTTTGAAAACAACCGCAGTATGTCTCTAGCAATTGCCAATTTGTACAAAAACTGGCTGAGTAATGAAATGTGGGCCGAGTTTTCTTGCTATTTGTGTGTGGTTTTTCTTTTCAGCTACTTGCAGGGGTCCAAAAATTCTAAAACACAATTCAACAGATTTCCAATTACTATTTTGATGGAGTCCCTATACGAATACGAAAATAAACAAATGTGCACACATATGTCACCTAAAATACAAAACAACGTAACGTCAAATATTTTAAATTGACCATATGTACAAAATTAAAAACCTATATATCGATTTAACCAAGTCATAAACAAAATTCCAATTTAGTTTCAATAATTTTGTTGTTTTGAGTTTTAGGTAATCCTATGAAGCTACAGTTACCCTCAAAAGTACTGATATTTTGACTGAACTTTGGTTACAACCTGAATAGCGCATATATAGGTACACATACATATATTAAGTTTACCACGAAGTTTGTAACACCCAGGAAAAAAAGTTGCAGACTCTAAATACATATGTAATTGTATAAATGAGCAGCGTGACGAGGTGTGTTGATTTAGTCATGTCCATCTGTCTGTCTGTATATATCATGTGAACTGGACCCTCTTAGACTGAGAGCCATGCGGCCATGTGGAGATCCGTGGAAGATAGAGGTTACCTGTTTGGCACTCGACTGGAGTGTCGAGGCAATGCGCACACCAAGTGCATTCTGCACGGCCGTTGAGCTATTGTCGCAACATAATGTGTCGCCCTATTGGTCCTAAGGTCTCAACAGGTCTTAAGGTGACGCTAACTATTGTATGAATTGCTTCTAGCTGAAATGGAATTATGGTGAAGCCTTTTTGCGCAAACACAGCAGAAAAATTCCTAGGGTCCTGGCTAGACTTAATGGCAGCGAGTATAAGGAGGCCGCTAGGTGTTGTTCTAAAAATGATGACAGTATTAAATTATTACTCACCGATCGAAAGAGGGTTACATCGTCAAAATGACAGCCCTTGGTCGGATAAAATGGGGGTCAGCATGGTAGTATTGTCGCAGACAACTGTGCAATCTCCGAGCATATTCTTCTTATCAAGAACCATTAATTCGACTTGAAGGTATTGCTCATAGCAAAACGTTTGCACCCAATTATTATAGAGGAAAGGCACTATAGTTCCTTTGATAGAAATAGGGTACTGTTGTTGTTGTGTCGAGAAATTTTAATTTTCTGCCTGCCAGCTTTATCCAGAGCCTGGATTTTAGTCTTGAAAAATAATGTCAAGGTGACAGTTCATGGACAGATAAATTCCATGTACATATCTACCGGTATACCGGCCAATTAGACATAAGTATATTCATGCAGAAATTTATATAAGCTCTGACAAATGCAGATCTTCGAAAATATCCATGAAGTAATTTGGAGGAAGCTGTCGAATAAAGTGCTTGGCCAGATAAAATCATTCCGGTTACCGGGGATTACTGGATAACTACACTTAAGTATCGAACTTCATTAAAATTTTCAATTAAATTGTTTTGTATTTCATAATTCATTAATTTTTTTCGCGTTTCGAAGGTTTAACAAAATATTAATTATTAATGACAACAAATGTATGAGTATTAATCATAATTATGCACTATTAGTATGGTAAACTGGTGTTGAAAGCAGTGCTTAGGCCCAACACTGCAAAGGAAAAGACACTGATTAAAATAAGTACAAATTAGGAACTGCATTAGCTGTTAAGATTACTTACAAAATGAATTATTTTCAACGTATACTTCAATGTTCAGCTTATTTGCCATATACTGATGGCAACGTATGTATGTCACCTCTATGGCTTCGATCTGTGTATGTGCAACATAATCAAGCTCTTCGGAACTTACGTTCATATCTACCGCCGCCCAGGGATTACGCTTAATTTCAATGTATTTCACACAACTGTTCCACTCCAGGCGCAAAATATATGTTAAGTTCAGTAGCTGAAAGACGACGATAAACGACAATAAACGAAATTAAGGACATAATTTGTGTTAAAATATCACAGTGTTATGCTCACCTGATCCACTCCCGTTTTCAACGAGGCGAAATTATCCGTCAAGAAGCAATGTTCGCATACTGTATTCATATATGAGCGATGCACAGTTACCATTTCTTTGAGATTCGTGCATTTCATGATCTTTTCATCTAATTGCTCGCCCATCGCTTGTAGCACGTGTGTCATGAAATGAAAGTGTAGACTCTGTAGTGCGAATAGCATCCAAAAACGTAACTGTTCGAGACGACGCATTAGCAAATCGGCCATTTCGTATGGCGCATAGGGTCTTCGGCGTTTGTGCGCACGTGGAAATTGTAGATTTTCCAAAGTGGTTAGGCCCCATTTGACTTTCAGTAGAAAGCGAAATACTTTATTATATGCCTCTAAGTCCGTTGGTGTTATCATATGTGCTAATTCGGTGCTTAAATTGTATGACAAGGATAGTTCCACAACTGCTTCATGGACCTGCAGCGAAATAAATTGAAATAACTTAACGGCTATAGCAAGCTTGATTGTTTTACCCTAGTGGTACGACTTCCAAATGTCGAGCAGATTTCAATACGAAATAATGAAGACATGTCTGGGAATTTAGCAGATATTATATCATCCAGTTGTGATGTTAGTGAAAACGCATTGGCCCAACCCTCGCCAGATTCGATCTGTTTACATAAAATACAAGAAAAAAGATTAAGTTCGATTGCACGAAGCAATAATACCCTTCCTTAATGCATAAAATGGTATAAAATGATCTTTGCCTTAATTATGATCAGTCAGCATGTAGGGTAGCTATATGCTAAAGTGCTCCGATCTGGATAATTTATTCGGAGGTTATAGCCTTGTCTTGGAAAACAATATTTGCGAATAAATATCGTATCGAATAAAAAAGTTTTCATACAAGAATTTGATTTTGATCGATCAGTTTGTATGGAAATTACATATATACATATATGCTATAGTGTTTCGAACTGAACAATATATTCAGATATAGTACTGTTGACCTGGACAACAGTCCGTATCAAATTTCGTAAAGATATCTTGTCAAAAAAAGTTTTTTATTAAGTACTTTGTGTTTATCGGTCAGTTTGTATGACAGCTTTACTTTAGTATAGTGCTCCAATACTAGTGCTTTTAACAAATGAAGAGCTTCTTGGGGACAGGAGACATTGTGTAAAATCTCACGGCGACATCTCGCAAATTGAGGGACTAGTTCATGTATATACAGACAGACACGCTTATCATTTATGTATTTTTTGAAAGGTCTCCGACGTTTACTTCTGCGTGTTACAAACTTCGTGACAAGCTCTATTTGATTCACTCAAAATTTTCGTAAACCCTTTCAAATACCTGTTTAAATAGTTTACTGTAGAACTGATGCATTATATCGCTCGCCTCTAGTAAATATATTTTGCGTATGTTCCGCAAATGCTTCAAAATATCGAACTCTTCCCGATACAACCGCATTACAAACGAGTTTGCGAATGCAATACGTGTTTTGAGTATTCGACTCAATGCATTCAAAACCACTTCCTCTGTAGGGAGTATATTTTTCGATTGTTGGAATTGTTCGAAAATCTCTAAAGCAGTCATTTCCTCGTTTTTTGTAGGTCCACTTTTGTTATGCGTATCGCATTGATCACCCGATGCGGTCTCAGTATCATTTAAATCCATATTCATTGTGAAAGCCAGTAGTAGGAAATCATCATTTGTTGTTAATTTTTTGAGTATTTGGTCATCTTCATTATAGTTTTGCGATGTATGCTGCGCATCTGTTTCGTTTACATTCTCCTCAATACATAATTCATCAACTTCATCGACATTGTTATACATTTCATCACTTTCAATTTCCAGTCTGTCATTCTCTTTGGCCTCTCTTGCTGCTTCGGTGATTTGTTTTTGCAAAATGCGCACATGTCTCATTACATCTTCGATGAAAACGTTGTATAATTTATCCTCAATAGCATCACAAGCGCTACGTAATTCGCCAATACGATTAATTTCGTAGAGCAGATTTAACGTGCAACCAGCTTCGAGCGAATGTTCCAATAAAAGTTGGAAAAAGCTATTCTCAGTTATCATTTTTGAAACTTGTGTCGACACGAAGAATGCTTTCTCTTTATTCTTATAAAATTCACGCACACGTATACTTTGACCCAATTCATTTACACGTTCGATTATGAATTCGTTGTGCCAATCATCTAGGCGGCCTTCGGTCCACCATGTGTCGGCAATGATCAAGAACACTCTCACTGATGCGAGGAATAACGACATCGTTAGATTCGCTTCAATTGCTGTTGTCGCAGTTCGGTTGCAGTGAATTAAAGCGGCTAATAAGTGCGTACTTGAGATATGTGCTGGCATTTGGCGTATATTCAGGACCGCTTGTTGATGTATGTTATGCAAAATGGAAAGTTTACCAAATGTGGGTCGTAATTTATTGTGTAAGCTGATGACAGTGTTAATTTCACAATCGGGTTGAGTTATTAAGGTCCTTTCACATGCCAGCACCTCATTCCAGATAGGGTCGAGTAGTAGTTCCAAGCTGGCTGCATAATGTTCCAAAGTATTTGGTGGTGTATAATCATCTGAACCGTATATGAGTTTGCTGAAATTGCGCAACTCTTGCATCATGCGTATGTAAGGCAGAAAATGATTTTCTAACATTGAACAAAGAGCAATCTGAAAAGTTTGTAAATAATTTCAAATGCACGCAAAATCAAAATATGAACTTCATACCGATCTTGTGCTGGTCAGTGTGACATTTTTTCTAATTTTAATGTTTTCACCATTTACATGAAAAAATTTGCATGTTTGCGGCACTTGAAACATCCAAAATATTTCACGTAATAAACAATATTCCGTAGCTGTTTCGGGTGGATCACGCTGACGTTGACTTCCTGCAGTTTTATGAAGATTATAGTATTCTAATGCAAAATTCGCTTCTCTATTTGTGCTCTCTATACGCGGCTGCACTATTCTAACGCCCTTCTCCCACCAAGAATTTTGAACCGTAGTTAGCAATCGTTGCTCGGCCGATTTGCTATCGAACGTAGTGTAGGAAAAGCATCTTCGTGGTGGTTTTAAATCTTCCATTCCACGAGGTGGTACTGGTGTGTTGGATCTTGTAGGAAAAGAAATCTCAT